AGCAGAGAGCCATGAATTTCAAAGAGAGAGAGGGGAGATCTTGGCGAACTTCAGCATAAAGAGGAAGATTTTGAAAGATCTATAGGTCTTTCACCCTTTCCTTGAGATCAAACATCGCTTTGATCTCGAGAAGAGTATTTATCTTACATCGCTAAGATATTTACTTCTATTCTAGTTTCCTCATTGAAACAAAGAACATCGAGCTTTCTTCATGATCAACCTAGATCTTGATTCGGCGGTCCACGGGCTAAAGTGTTCCCGACACAGGCAAAGATCCCACGCAAGCAGTGATCACGATCTCTACATATGTTTCTAGGAGATTCACTCTGTTTGTTTCTCTTGTAAAAAGAAGTTTTATAAAAGGCTCACTCTTTTATTTCTATTTGTAATCGATAAACGATTATAATGGAAGTTGCAAAGAAACTGATTTCCAACGCAAACAATGAGCAATTAGGGCATTAAATCATTGCACATTGGTACAAAATCTGAAGCACCACAAAATCATCAATATTCTTCTTTGAGGTTGACTCAACAAGTGTCTCCAGTAACTCTTCAACATATCTCCGCATGCTACCAGCTTTTTCTTTATCTTTGTCCTTTGTCTTTGCCTTAGCCTTTAGCATTTCTTTTTTTTCTTTAAAGTACTCCCTCCAGAGCCAGTTGTGCGGGTCTCTATTTTCATAAATCAACTCCCCATCAATAGGGAAGCCTGTGTGATTTTGCACCCACTCCTCATCAAATTTGACTAAAAATATCGACCCAATTTTGGAACCGGGGAAGAAAATTCGTCCTTTTCTCCAACATAATAACTTAGCACATGCTCTAGTGGTGGCCGATCACGTGCTGGAGGTCCGAACAAGACATAGTGCTCGAAGTTACTGCCCTTGTAGGCATCCTAGTGTCACTTTTTCATTCTTAGTTGAAGGTTTTTCATGAAAGCATAGTACGATCCAAAACATACAGTAGGCCTGATATTACCTACAACATCAATTTTCCTGCATAAATAAATATTTACTCTTAACAAATCATTCAAATTCTTAATATCCATTATACTAATTAACATCAGTGGTAAATATTAATATTAAAGGTTAAAACTTAACAACTTTTTATGACAGTTAACACTTACGGATGAACGTTAACAACACTCAACAAAACTTAACATCTGTTCGTATAAGTTAACATTCATTTATGAACTTTAATATCTAATGATGAAACATGTATGTGTAAAAGCAAACATCAGTTATTTACTATTTTCATGTAATGCTATCACCTAAATAAAAAATTGATATACAAGCTATACTTCTCAATATATAATATGTGACAAATCCAATTGCAAATATTCACATACTTTTTATAATTGTTGGATGTGATTGTATATATATTGTAATTCATATGCTATGGTTATACTTCTCAATATATATTAACTAAATTCCAAACAATGGGTCTATATATCATACAATAGGTCTACACTTCATACATAATAATTTTACTCAAATTAAGACAAAAATTCTACAAACAAGGACCCCGTTTTATCCACTTTTATTATCAATAAATTGAATATCAAACTGCAATAGTTATGACCTTAGCGTAGCAACAAATGATTACTATTAACATGAATTAAAAATAGTTAACAGTTAAGGCATTAACTTAGTAAAAGTCAAGATTTATTAACATGAATGGCTAATAATTGACACTTAAGGCTAAACGTTAGCAACAAACGAGAATTATTGACATGCATTGCTAATAAGTAACAACAAATGAGAATTATTGATATGCATTTCTTCAAAACAATTAACTTGATACTGTTGAGATCATACTCCCAAATTAAGAAACTGGTTCTACACTACAATAACCATTTTTTCATAAACAGAACCCATAAATCTCAATTGTATTTCAAACAAATAAAATGTTAACTTTCTTCCTTTTTTCCCGCTCATATTTTCAGCTAATTAACATCCAACACCATAGTTTAACAAATTACTTATAACGAAAATTAATTAAATTCAAAATCACTTAATTGATTAGGAATTAACTTACTTCTTCTTAGAGATGAGCACAGCCGCCGTCGAGCATCTCCTCTTACGGTCTCGAACTTCTGGTCCTCTTTTCATGCTCAATAGGGTCACAGTCGCCTCGTTACTTTCCTCTTCCTTAGAGGATGTCAGAGAAGAACCGCCGGTGGGGGATACGAAGGCAGAGGCAGAGGTGGATGCAGATGATTTTGGCACATCCTCCTTCATCAACCGGGCTGAGCGGCGCCGGTGACGAACCCCTTCCATTTGGGTGTTGTCTCCTTCACCCTTCTCCACATTAGGGTTCTTGACCATTTTACTTATTTTTTTTTAGAAATTTTTTATGGATTTAATGGACGTTTGAGTGAAAACTAAGGTTTCAAATTTTGGTTTTCTAGATGACGGAGGTTTGAGCGAGAGAAGAGAGAAGAGAGAAAGAGTGCAGATAAATTTTGGGGGGAACAGGTTAAGGGCAATTTTGGATTTGGTAAATAGTTTCTCTCTGTGCTGAGTTGGAAAGGTAAATAATGGCTAAAACATAATTATTTCATGTATTAGGGGCTTTCTCACACATAAAAATAATGGGGGGGGGGGGGGGGGGGGGGGCTGGTGCACCAACCCAATTTTTTGGGCATTGTCACATTTTTCCCAAAAAAGAAAGAAAGAAAAGGAGAAGAACGTGATGGTAAAGCAAACATAAAGAACCATGTAAAGGAGGAGACAAGTCAACTACAGTTCATTCTCCAAGTCATTGTGATCTCATTCTATTCTGACCACTGTCAATGGGAGCAATGGGTCAATTTTCTTGAGAGATTACTTCATATGCAAACATATAGACACTTTTTTGGTCAATGAAAGAAAATTTTATTCATAACAAAAAATGAGCATTTGTTACATCTTTCTATCAAGCTAGATAAGAAACTGGAACTCAAACTCTCAAGTTAACACTATTACAATGCCTCAATTCTCTCTTTTATATGAATTGGGATCTTGTCATTTAAAATTTTGGAGAAGATAGTGACCTTTATAGCTCAAAAAATCACCTCAGGCTGCCGAGCTTTATACTGAAAGATTCTAAGATTCCTCTCTTGCCAAATCCAATATATCGAGACTGTAAATGCCATACGCTTTAACTTCTCCATAAAACCCCTCTTTTTCAGTCTGAAACTATACCAACTGATGATGCATCTCCATGAACAAGATCTCCAGCTGAATTTTAGCCAATCCATCACCATATTCCACACAAGTGTTGAATATCAACATTCAAAGAATAGGTGGCAACATGATTCTGGAAAATTTGTACACGGAACACAATGATTTGTGGCAAGAATCCCCATGTGACATAATCTGTCTTGAGTAAGTAGTCTTGATTGGACAGCTAGCCAAGAAATAAATGAATGTTTTGGATAGTGAATGCTATCCCAAACTATGTCAGTCCAAGCAGCTTGATTCACAGGCTGTATTAGAAATCTGTAAACAGAAGATATGTGCATTTTTTTCACCATTACATTACTTAGATAAGATGTTTTGCAAGCTGCTGACACTTCCAAATCTTCTTATCAACTTGTATGTAATCTTTAGAAGTTGTTTCCACATCCAGGAATCGCTCAATCTTACATGAACTTGCCATATATTTAAGAAACTGAGTAGTCATTTTCAGATGAAGCAAGTGGTCATAACAAGATAATAAACAAATATGATTAGAGTGAGAAATTTGCTGATTGATAAGCTTGGAAGTGTGAACATCTTGCAAAATGTCATCAGAGGCAGTTGTGTTAATGGCAAGCTCAGTGTATCAGTGATGTGCAGGAATCTATTTCAACAATCTGGCCTGACAATATGGTCAGGAACTGTATGGGGTGGATGGCATATACCTAAACATTCCTTTATCCTCTGGTTGGCAGCTTAATCAAGACTCTTAACACAAGAGAGACTATGTAGAATGAGGATCTTGAGCTCTAATTTGTGTGTTTTATGTTCTAGGGAAGGCCAAACGGAAACATGTCATCATCTGTTTTTTGATTGCTTTTATTCTGCAAGGGTATGGAACAAGGTAATGGATTGGTTATGTTTCAACTGGAAATCATGTGGGTGGAACCAAATCATTAACTGGTACAACAGGAGCTTGAGGGGGAAAAATTACAAAAAAAGTTGAAGAGAATGGCATTATCCGTATCAGTGTACATGATATGGCAAGAGAGAAATTTGAGAATCTTCCAACAGAAATCAAGAAGCTCTGATTATCTGTTTAGTATGATAAAGATGCATGTGTATACAAGAATTTTAAATGACAACATACCACACTACATGAAAGAATATGTAGAAAAATTGTAAAGTTCGAAGACTGGGTTCTATAACCAGTCTTGAGTGAACAATCTCTTGATGTACTCAATATTTCTATACTTGGTAATGAATAAAAAAATTTCATTGACCAAAAAAAAAAACAAATATGATTAATCAGTTAAGAGGTCTCTATATCAAGATATGAATAACGTTTTCTATTGACCAAAAAAAAAAAGATATGAATTATCAATTCTAGGGTCTCCAACCTCATTAACACCAGGTGAGACATCTTTAAATTGTACACATTTAGGGCGCATTTGGTTAGATGTAATAGGTCAGGATGTTTAGTTTCCTTTCAAACTTCATCTTACAATTGAAACTCCAAACTTCAATACTTTTAAATATTCGTATGTAGTTGTAAAAGCAATGTAAACTAGAGTATAATTAAACAACACGATTAAAACACTCTCTCTAGATTGTTGGCGTATGTTCTAGAAAGCTTACATCTGGTCACTAAACAAATCAATCAACTTAACGAAGAAAATACTTAATTTCACCCTTAATTACTTAAATAACAGAAGAAGGTACAGCTAGCAATATATTATCTTTGCATGCATGAAGTAGTTTATGCGTGTCTATCAATCAACAGCGTATGTCCATCAAAGGGCGATAGCAAATAGTGATAGCACACCATCGGTTGCCCACTATCAATGTTGGACGTACGCAAATCTATATGATAGGAAAATGACCTGTATATATGACGATGTAACTATGTAACTACCAATTAAACATGCGTCCTCAGTATATCAAAACACTGTACAAAAGAAGTATGTAAAATCTACTTAATTTGCTCTCAATAATGCATCTTTTTCTTTTAATTTATCCAGCCAAATCATGAAGCAAATGAGTATCCATAAGATTCCTATAGGGGAGAGTCTGGCCATCTTCATCCAACATAGAGAACTGAACTTGTCTTTCATCATCGATGTGATCTCTAGAGAAGCCCAATGTTAGCGAAACGCCGCTAGCGTCGTAGGGGCAGAAGTCCAAATCGACTTCTCCGAAATTAGCGTTAGGGTTAGGATGATTGTTACTATTGTTTATGATGGAGGAGAGAGAGTCTGATTCGTTCATAAGAAGCCCATGCACGGGCTTTTGTTCCTCAGCACTAGGGTTCGGGTTTGAATTGGGGTTGAACTTCTCTTCTTCTTTTAGCTCTTCCATGTACATCTCTTCCACCATTGGCTTCCATAGCCTCACCCTTGCATTTATGAACCAGTTGGAGACCTGTTCGCAATTTGCAACATTCATAGTTATCGTAGATGTGACCTTAAAGGACTTCAAATTGAAATTAGGGCAAATAATCATATGAAATTGCCAAAACTAATTATCTTTTTAATTTGGATTAGAAAGGAGTAGCTAGCTAGCCTACAATTTCATATGTATATGGGTCATTCAAATGGATAATAATTTAGATTGTCCTTCTTATTCTATTATATATCTGTACGTTGCCATTCATTTCACTACCATGATGCATAACTGGTTCATAGCAAGTAAGAATAATATGCATGAAAGCTCATATTTAAAATATACTCTATGTTAATTAGAGCTTACTGGGACCAAGTTTAGGACTAAAGTGATTAAGTGCAAGTAATATTATAACAAGGTTTTTGGACCATATAATTATTAAGACTTAGGGTTATATTGGAAATATACCTGACTTCTAGAGAGTCCAGTTTGCCGGGCTAAGATATGCTTGTCCACGTCGCTGGGATACCTGTTGTCAAGTACTAGTAGACACATCATTAATAATTCAAGTCCAACAAGAAGAATTAAGTATGTGGAATTAGGAGGCAAATTAATTTGTTGTTTAATGTATTGTTTTATTTTTCTCATTGACAAGGTCTAAGCTTCACCTAGTATACTCCAAACCTTAAAAAAATTAATGAAGTCCAAATAGATTAATGATAGTTGGTGCTAAAATAGAAGTTGGCGTAGAAATCTTGAAACTGATTTAACTTCAAATGAAGGAAATTTGAAGATCAGCCAAACTAAGGCATAGAATCAATATTAAGATCTTATAGGTATAACTTCAAAACAAAGTCCTTTGTGAAATAGGCTTTTCTATAAAATATTGTACAAAGTCTTAAGGGATCAGGTATCAGTTTGTTGTCTATTCTCTTTTAACTATTTGCAAAATCATGTTAAATAAAACTATGGAGAGAATCCTTCTTGACTACCCTTCAAAACTATAACGACTTGGAGTCCTCAAATTTCTACTAGACTTGAGCCAAATAAAACATATTTTCATAAACAAAATCTAGAAATTAATGGTGAAAAATAAATAGATATTTGTTAGATTATGAATGTTTTTTAGGTTAAATATTGCAGATTCATGCAATATCCTTTTCTTAGAATTTGACTGATTGATCGGAAAACGAAGTAATCTCTCGTATTATTTGTGATCAGTGAATGCCGTGCGGTGTCAATGTTTTGTTATGGAGAAAAGTCGGTGATAAGACCCTGTATTCTTTCAAGAGCTCCGATATATATTTGGGCATCAAGATATGTAAGTGCTAATAAAATTGTCATATATAGGAATAATGCAATTAGTAAAAGGATAGAGAGGATTACGGATGCAAAAAATGCTCGAAAAGCCAAGCTCTAAGAACGGAAACAGATCTCTCGGGTAATCCCCTTTGAGGCCTCCAAGGCTGGCTCTCCATGATTCCGGCATTCTGAAAAGCCTTCTGCTGCCTCAAACACTGCTCTAACTTCTTCAACCTCGGAGTTTCCCCTTTAGTAGCTCCTGGTGCAGCTGCTGTACTATCTCTTTCTCCCATCGCCATTTTTGTCGCTTGAATTTGGCTCGTGATGCCATCTTTTAGGCATCGGAAATGCCTTGACATGGCCTTTGAGGCGAGGGTTGAGTAGACTGTCGCCGAGCCTTCGCCTGCTATGGACTCGAAGGAGGATACAACCGCGCGCATTTGCTCACAGTATCGTCTGTACCTCCTGTGGACCTATATATATATGCGCATACAAATCAAATTACTAACTAGACTTGTAAATGATGTCAACATTATTTGAAGATGCGTGTTGTCTTCAGTATTTTGTCCATATATATGGTTGCAGATGATTCACATATTGAACGTTTTGTAACGTAATAAAAACAAGCTGGTGCAGCTATATATAACGGAATGTCTCCTTTGCAAATTTAAAATTTATAATGTTTAGTAAAAAAATCATAGTAATTAATTAATATTTGGTTGTTTCTATCGCACGAAGAATATTGTTGAAAGGCATCTGATTGTTCTCCAACTAATGCGCAGTTAAAGTTAATGATATAACAAGATAAAGAATCACAAATTCAAATATCATTTTGATTCGTATTCAATAGAGCAAAGGAGCAGCCTTTAATTTGGTCACTCTTTAAAGAAAAGAAGGGGGGCTCATATTATGATAAATTGATAATGAACTGATTGATAAATTTGTAATATTGTTGCATGTGAGGACAGGCTAGCGTTTAAATAGATGCATGTGTATTGTCTGTTGCACTTGTATTACGGCAATAGCTTTTTTAACAGATGGTTTTACATGCTGAAGGCTTTGAGATCAACAAAATGATTGTTGACATTATTTAGTGAATAGATAGTAGTAACTATAAGCATTTGATTTATTCTAATGAATTTTTGTTTGAGATAAAGCTGCTTGGTAATAACTCCCTGCGTTTCATATAATTTGATCTCACCAAAATAAATTATTCTATTTAACTATTTAAGAGCAACATCTGATTTTTTTTTTCAGAGAATATTATTCACAAATATGTGAAGTTTCACCATATTTGTAGATAAATAAATACTTCATCAATTG